CAGCCCTGATCCCCACTCCTTCACCCATTTCCTCTCTTAGGAGGAGGAAAATCGTCTCCGGGAAGAGCTGCGGCAGGAGTGGGAAGCCAAGCAGGAGAAGATTAAGAGTGAGTGCTTGTGGAATTGGGCACAGATGGTCTGGCCCTGGGGTTCTGGGGCAGTGAGAGAACAGGGCTGGGCCCCTGAACGTAGTCCCCTGGACTGTGCGCTGTGCCCTGAGAAAGCTCTGTAGCAGAGTTCCTGGGTCTGGAGACCAAGAGGCAATTCTGATTTGTAGGTGAAGAGATTGAAATCACCTTCAGTTACTGGGATGGCTCTGGACACCGGCGGACAGTCAAAGTAGGCAGTGGGGGGGCCACCCTTGGGTTTGGTGGGAAGGAACTGACAGGCCTGACTTTAGAAGTCCCCCGGGATCCTAAAAGCTGTAGGGAGAATGAGGGCCTGCAAGCTTCTGCCTATTGAAAAGCACTTCTCCAGTCTTCTGTCTTCTCTTCCTAACTCCTTGGTTTCCTGGATGCTGGCTCTTGGGCCACCCCTGTAGATGAAAAAGGGCAATACAATGCAGCAGTTCCTCCAGAAGGCACTTGAGATCCTGCGTAAAGACTTCAGTGAGCTCAGGTGAGCAGTGTGTACACGCCTGTGTGTGTATATATAGATCCTGTGATCTCAGCCAGTATCCCAGAAACCCAGGATCATCATTCCCTGGCTAGGAAGATGGCATGCTGGGCATTGCACTCTGCAGAAGGGAGACTCAGGCCCCTTTTTCTTTCCATCCTGCCATAAAGAGCTTAGGTGGGAGCTATCCTGCCTTGGCCCAAAGGTAGAGGACAGTGGAATGCCTCTCCCAGGCTCACTAAACCAGAAGGCTTCCCTTAAAGCATTCCAACCAGTTCTTTAACTGTCTGCTTCCTCCCTCCATGGGAGGAGAATATGCTCTGTCCATCTGTATCCCCCCCCCATCTTTCTTCCTCAGGTCAGCAGGGGTGGAGCAGCTCATGTACATCAAGGAGGACTTAATCATTCCCCATGTGAGTCCCTTAACTTCCAGCTCATGCAGTGGGTCCTGTGCCCCTAGGCCTCTACAGTAGTGTTCCCACACAGCTCTGCACTCTTCCATGCTTTCGTCTGCCTATGAATGGGAAGTGGCATATGGATAAGAGAGGCCAAGATGGACCATCAAGCTGACTTAACTTATCCTTGCCTTCTAGCATCACAGTTTCTATGACTTCATCGTTACCAAGGCACGTGGGAAGAGTGGTGAGTGAGCCTAGCCTAGTCCCTCTCACAATTTGGCATATA